GCGTCTTTTGGAGAATATGACTGGCCTAACGGTGTTGAAGTTGAGGGTTTCCCAACAAATGACCCAGCCAATCACTCGGTAGTGAGGTTCAACAGCCCCTACCCACTCTTAAATAGAGCAGACAATTGAAGATTACCAGATAGATGAGAGACACCTTTATCATGAAAGACAGAAACAAAACACAGGAAACCTGTGGAGTGAACAACAGATAGTGCAGGAAGAAAACCTTTTGTTTTTTAAAAAACACATCCTCGGAGAAGAAGATATTGCAGCCATAACATAAACAAGAAGCCATTTTACTAAGGAACATTCAGAGAATAAAATAGCTCTTAAATTCAAAATCATGGTAGCAGACATTAAAATTCAATAGAGTAGTTAGGAATTAAAGTTGACTTGCTCAGACTGGAGCCAACAAGAAAAAATGGAAAACAAAGAAATAGAAAGACTAGTCCAGAAGGTCAAATAATTTGAGATCCAAAAAAAAGAGCACAGAGAAAACAGAAGAGAGGGACTTATCAACAAAAATTCAGAATTTTCCAGAGCTGAAGGTTATGAGTTCCCAAATTCCAAGATCCCAGCTCAGTGGGTGAAAACAGACCAACTCCGAAGTGTTTGTGAAATTTCAGAACAGACGGACAAAAAGATTCTGCAAGACCTGGGAGAAGAGGGTCTGTTATGTTAAAAATCAAGAATTGAAATATCTTCGGATTTAACATCAACTCCGGAAGCTGGAAAGAAGGATATGCAGCCGCGCCTTCAGAATTCTTACGAAAAATGCCTAACCTCGGACTCTATACATAGTCAAATCATCAGTTAAGTGTAAGGATAGAATAAAGACATTTTCAGCGTGTGATCTCAAAAACATTTTCTTCCTGAGTATTTTCTAAAGGAGCTACTGAAGGATGTGTTGTTCTGCTCTGACACAGGGGGAAGGGACTCTTTCGAGGGGGAAGGGACTCTTTCAAGGAGAACGGGACTCCAGGATCGTACACTGTCTGTACACTCAGCGGGAAGACAACCAATTCATACTGGGACGGCACAACTCCAGAATTAAACCTTTTGAAAGCTGTCATCACAAAGGTGCTCGCTACCATTGTACCAGCTTTTACCCCGAGGAACAGTATGCCCCTGCGAGCCTGGCCCACATTTCTGTCCTACGCTGGGCTAGCTCTGTGTCTTGATGGAAGCATTTCATAGTTGTTCATCCCCTGGACTTATTCCTGCCAACCCCGTAGTACTCAGCCTGCTTTCCAACATTGCCAGAAAACCCAGAGCCTGATCAGGAAAGCTGGAACCAGAGATTGTTCCACTTATTTTTCCCCAAGGACTTTCATCCGACCATGGAAATATTACCTTCTGCTATAGACTGAATATTTGTGCACACCTGAAATTCATACGTTGAGGCCTAATCCCCAAAGTGATGGTATTTGGAGGCGGGGCCTCATGAATGGGATTAGTGCCCTTATGAAAAAGACCTCAGTTTCTTCCCCACTTCTGCCAGGTGAGGACAGAATGAGAAGATGCTGGCTATGAACCTGGCAGTAGGCTCTTACTAGACACCAAACCTGCTGACACCTTGATCTGGGACTTTGAAGCATCCAGGACGTGAGAAATCAATGTTTGTTGTTTAATCCACCTGGTCTATGGTGTTTTTGTTAGAGTAGCACAGATGGACTAAGATGTCTTCTCAGTCTTCTCAGTTTTTATATTAATATATTTATATGAATTACCTTTCAAGATTCATTCACATGTAGATAGTCGTGGTAGGCTGAATGATAGCCCCCAAAGATGTCTATCCAGGTCCTGACGCCAGGAACCTGAGTTACTTTCCTTGGCACAAGGAACTTTGCAGATGTGATTAAGGTTTCTGAGATGGGGAGGTTATCCTGGATTATCTGGGCAGCCCAGTGTAATCACAAGGGTCTTCGTAGGAGGGAAGCAGGATGCTAAACTGGCTTTGAAGAAGAAGGGAGGTGGCTGTGAGCCAGGGAATATAGGCAACCTCTTGAAACTGGAAAAGGTACAGAAACAAATGTCCCCTAGACTGTTCTCCCGAAGAAACATCTTGTAGATTCATTTTAGACTTCTGCCCTCCAGAACTGTCAAATAATAAATTTGTTTAGCTTAAAGTCACTAATTTGCTACAACATCGATAGGGAGCTAATACAATAGTTAATAATAATAATGACTGTTGGATTAACATAGTAAAAATGGTGTTTATTATATAGGCAATTCAGGAAATGCAGACAAAAAAAAGAAAATGAAAATTATTTATAAGCCAAAGATAGCCACTCTGTGTACCAGAAAGTACTAATTATGTTTAATTCCAGAGGAGTACATGGCCACAGGTAGAAACCCTGCATTTCATTTAATTTTAATGCTAATGTATCAGATATCACGGAATCAAAAATGAATA